AATATCTGAACTTGCCTGCCAAATTGATACAGTAATCTAGTGTCAGGAAGATCCTATAAGTAGTAAGTATCAAAATGTATTTTCAATTAATTGCATTTTATTTGTGTGTGTGTTTCCAAATGAAAATGTGATTTGCCATGATACCTCCCAAGCATTATTTTTATTTTTTATTTTGGCTGTACGTACCTCCAAGTATTTTTTTAACAATGTTGTTGTACTGTAATTAAAGCCTTCAATCGGTTGCCCTTTTGTGCGAGATGCATTGAGTTGCTTTCTAACTTGAGTAGCCAATGACTGCGTTAACAAACATGAAATGGATATGTTAAAATATATGAAGGGGACAAAACAAAATAAACTTCAAATTAGATCAGCGGACAGATGAAAGTTGATGCAATTCTTATATTCATTTTGGTCTAGTGCGAGAACACTGATAAGGTTCCGTTGTACCTTCCCCAATTCTACTCCCCACTGGTCAAAAGAATTGATCCCCCATAGGAAACCTTGGACTGCAACTCTGTGTTCGTAGATTGCCAACAACTGGATACAGGCAAGTAGGTATTAGAAAGAATACAAGAGCAGTAAATGAAGACTTCACATAGCACATGAACAAGCACTCGGACTAAACATGCAGGCCTAGAATGTTATGTTTTAGAATTGAGAAGTTAGCAAATATGTAGTAAATGACAATTCATCAAGCAATTTACTGTTTGACTTTGCATATGCTAACACAAGCAGAAAAACCAATTGAAATTGAAACGTCAAACAATTAGGCATGACCAAAACGCATAACAAAAGGTAGAAAATGAAATCAAATAGCAAACCTGGCCAATATTGTAAGCATTCAGTGATGGAAAAAGAATGCTGAGAGAGGGCCGGTTTCCAGAGAAAGTCTGTGAGAGATATCTTATAATTAGTGCCACTTATTCACTTATAAGCCAATGACTGAAGCCAATAGGAACTCACCTTATGCGGAATAAGATGCTTTGGAACATTCTCTTTCTGCAGCTGTTCTGGGTGCTACAAGAAACTTAATTCTGGTTAGACATGAAAAAAATCCAAGGTAGTAATATGTGCTCTCATCTTAGTGAGAGCAATGGCGAAATTTCTTTGCTAATCTTAGTTTTATCATTTTTTTTGTTTTTGTTTCTAGAATCATAGTGCAAACTCAATTACCTCAAAAGCAAGGGTATAAAATGATGTTGTTTTAACATATAAAGCTTTTTGGGTGGTGTTTGGTTCAAATGTAAACCCAGTTTTCCAGTGTCCAGGAGTAAGCATAAAACATACCTTCCCATATGCAAGGGCATCTGGCTGTGCAAAAAAGTTAGACATGAGCTCATCATGGTTGCTCACCACTTCACCTGCAGCAAACACGTGAGGAATTCTATATTGCATACCCCACAAACCAAACATCAAAATAAAAACTTCGAGCAAGACATAAGAGTTTTAAATTAGGTACCTTTCAGGTAAACAGGTTGTTGACTCTTCACAACACCAATAAAATCACAAGGAATAACACGGCCCTGAACATTCAAGAAGGAAAAAAATTAATTATCAATGTACATCACAACATAAATCAAAGTACCAAGAATAATTATCTGAAGCTCAGAAATGCGCTCAGTGTTCCTTCACATAAGACTGAAAAGCTGAAGGTTTGGTAACACTTTTGAATGTAAAATCAGTTTTCATACATGAGATCACTGAAAATTGTTAGAATTAAACAAATAATAGAACGTTGGTCACCTGGTGAATTAGTTGGTAAAAGCTGTGCTGACCGTTTGTTCCAGGTTCACCAAAGTCAATTTCTCCAGTCTCAAAGGGAAGTATTACACCCTCAATTGATACACCCTTGCCGTTACTTTCCATGCTAACCTACATTGCCCAAAAAAAAAAAGGAAGGTATAAGAGCATTTAATATAAAAATGCAGATAGATGACTAGTATAAACTTGCCTGTTGAATGTGCGGAGCAAACTTCTCCAGTGCTTGGGAGTAAGGTAAGATAGCCTAAAAAATAAGCAGAAAGAAGTTAAAAGACAAAATTGATTGAGACTTACAAATTTGAAGTCTAGAAAGGATAAAGTAACACTCACTCTTGCAGGGTATCCAAGGAATGAAACATTCCATAAGCTCAACAGACCCAAGAGAACCTGAAGCAGGGATGAAACAGTATATAACACAAAAATAATTATCTCATAAAGCTTTACAGCTAAGCTACCTATCTAAATAGGTAACCACAACAATATACCCCAAACTTGAATATAGAGGTGGCTAAGGTGTCACTCACCTAGAGAAGAATCACACTAAAAGGTGAAACAAAATGATTATATGAATGAACTGAAACTCTGATGAGATTCATTGTGCACCGATATTTCTGTAACCCACCGGTGTTATAGGTATTTTTATAACTCACCAGTGCTACAGGTACCATCCTTGCCATTCCCAGTAGGAAATGCAAGACAATCACTCTAGCAATAATCATGATGATAACAACCTTAGGCACTTACAGGGATATTTTTCTCAAATGGTGTTGAGTAGAAGTGTTGATCAATGCTTGAAGCCCCCTTTAAAAACCTTTGAGCAGGAAATATAACATCCTAGTTAGTATATGCAAAGATCATTTCACCAACCATTGAAACGAAACAAGAGCCTTTTTTCCTCAGGAAAAAAGGCATTGACAGAGAACTGGAAACTGCCTTTTGGGAATCAGATCACCGAGTTACATCAGCATCAGTGTTTATGTAGTTATTGTTTTCAAAGCTACTGTTAACAAATAACATAAAATATCTTTAAAACATCATGCCGCGCCCTATCTGAATTATTATCTTCAGTTTTTTCTTTTTTCTGGAAAGAGTAATGCATTCTATGTTTGTCATTTTGCAAAGGGCAGGTTCAAAATTGTTTCTCAAGTCCATATATTTACTGGAGAAAGCAACAAATTTATTTTCTTCTACATAGAGAAAACAGGATAAACAATTTAAACCTAATCTGCATTGACTAATGGAGTAGAAATCGAATCTATGTATCACAAACTTCAGAAATGATTCAAATACAATTGAAACAACCATGAGCAGCGTACTTCTCAACAACTGAGAACCCATATTGAAGAGATAAAGGCAACACTCCAACAGCACTGCAAACTGCAACCAGAAATTCAAAAATAATAATTAAACATCAAGGTAGCTGAAAATATATACACAAGAGGGCAAATAACTTACCACTATACCGGCCACCAACCCAGTCCCAAAATGCAAAAGCATTATTTGGGTCAATCCCAAACTTCTCTACAAGCTGAAACAGAAACACACAAAGATAATACGCAAAGATAGCTTTCTTGCGAATAGACCAAACTTCAATGTCTACGAAGATTGTAGATGGAAAAAAAATCATATCTTTTTTTATAACCACTTTTAAAAAAATATACGCACACTGTAAATTAAAGGCTCGTATTAGAGAATCTTTGATAATCCATCACAAATAAAAGGCACTAAGATCTGTTTGTATAAAACTATATGAGGGACTAAGATCAAATTTATATAACAATTAAGGAACACATGAAGATGGAATGCACGCTTTTCACAGGTTTTCAATAGAGCACCTAAATCTGCCAATATTTCCATCTTAAAAAACAACCTTAGTCCTGATGAACTCAATAAATAGCATCAGAATAAAAACCAAAAAGAAAAAAAGCACAGAAATTTAGAATGACCAACGAATAATAAAAAATAGTTAATTAAAATTAATGATAAACTGAATGTTTAATAAACTAAAGGCATGAGGGCAAAGGAAAAACTCATACTGTAAGATTAGTGCTGACTGCTACGATATGCTTTGCAACTGCATCAGGCCTGAAAATGTTACGCTCAATCATGAGAGAGAGAGAGAGAGAGAGAGAGAGAGAGAGGGGGGGGCAGGCAGATCTTCAAAACTCACATTTTATCTGACAAAATCAATAATTAAACTACAAAAAGACATAATAAACCTTCACTCCATCATTACTATCTTGAGTACTAAATTATTCAATTATAGCATTACTAAGCTATTCTAAATATGATTCATTCCACCCACCCCAAAAAAATTATTTACTAAGTCTAAATTCAATCATCAAATATGAAGCAAATCCTTAATCTGAAATAACTGTTCATATACTTGAAGAAGTGTTAGCAGTGCACTAACCCGAGAGAAGATGAAATCCATTCCCTAAGGGTTCGAGCATTCAACATAGTTTCAGCTGTTGTAAAAGTCTTCGAAACTACCACAACTGCAAATATCAAAAGAATACAAACGATAAGACACCCAACATAGAGCTTAGTTTACAAAAGTCAATATTTAGTGATATAAGTAAACTTATGCTTACCGAGGGTAGTTTCTGGGTTTAACCCTGCAATATTTCTGGCAACATCAATAGGATCAACATTTGCAAGACTGCACACAGAGGAAAACAAAAGATTAGAATACCCTTAGACCGGAAGCATCGATCCTTGGATAAAAAAAATTATGCCACACATAATTATCAGAAGTGGAATACTGCCACTCGTTCTGGGCCATGTTACTGGCTTTTACAGAATGCATCTAATCTTTTAACCCAACCACCAAAACTACAACCAAATATTTACACAGATAATGCATCTAACATAGTCCCTGAGTATGGGCTATGCTTCTTCAACCACCACAACTACAACCAAACACACAGAATACAGATTGCTTTCAAAATTAAAACGAAAGAAAGTTTGAAAACAGAAGCAAAAGCATGTGATGTCCTAAAATCCTATATGCCGTAACAAATACAAAATGCTTCTCTACATGTCTTTAACAGATGAATGCATCCTTCCTTCAAAAACTATGCCACAGAAATAAACTAATGAACACAAACAAACCAATCAGGTAGAAGGAGCTAAAAGAAAGATAATCCACAATGTTTGACAACAGTAGTGGGAAATCACTTCAAAAGCCTCAAGACATGGATTCTTACTATTAGCATCATACCAGCTTTTAATTCATTGATATAGAGAACTGGAAATTAATCAATTAAAAAATCAATATGTAAGTACTTACAAATGCAGCTGCCTTCCCCTTGCTGTTTCAATAGCCTCGGGATCTGTAAGATGTAATCAAACCAATGAACACTGCCCAAACTTTATTCCAAAGCAAGCTTAATCATTTTTCACAAGGAAACTCACACTAAATAGTAAATAAGACTGCAAAATAGAGTTATAAATGGATAAAATGGAATGCATCATCTGAACCTGTTTGAAGAGCTGTGTGCACAAACAGAGGACCTAAGAAGCTGCCACCAATACCAACAGCAATGACATCCTTCAGGGCTTTTCCTGTGGCTCCAACCTACCACAATTGTCAATTACTTCAGAATTCAGGCAATATGGACCCAAAATGGATACTAAAAAAATTGTGGTTGATTACCCAAGATCCACTTCGAATACTGTCAGAGAACTTTTGGATCTTGTCCAGAACTTCCCAAACATCTGTGACCACATTTTTCCCATCACTTTGTATAACTGCATCCCTTGGAGCACGTAGAGCTACATGAAGCACTGATCTATTTTCTGTGCTGTTTATCTGAAGGCACCACCCAGAAGAAAAAGGAAAAATAAATAGAATGCAAAAGAATCACATGATGGTTTCAGAAATAAGCTGGTCTATTGTTGTGCTCACAAAAAAGTTTCTCGACAATTGCAGATAAAACGTGTCCAAATTAGCATTTTAATTCCATATTTATCCGCATGCTACCAAAGGAAGATAAACTTGAACTTACATGCTCTCCACCAAACATTCGGTTAATCTTTTCTTTGAGGGACGCAGCCTGCATTGTGGCATAGACAACATTACTTAGAAAACATACTCACCCGATCCCTTGCCCCCCAAGACAGACTAGTTATGAATGGGCCAACCCCACCTCTGCTAATTTGAAAAGCTTCTCCAAAGTTTCAGGTGTGGCACGTTGCCGTGAGTAGTCCAATAGTATCCCATCAAACTCACTATTAGAATATACACATTATCAAGTTATTCATGACTTCACATATAATAGTTGATACAGCCTACAACAATATTCATGTCATACACTTCATGTATCATATAAAACAAGGATGAGATGAAGTAAGATTAAAGCTTTCAAAAAGTTCCAGCAGAAGACTTACTTCGTCATTAACTGGGACCGCTTAATATCATTCATCAAATCACGCAAATGGGTCTTGTTTATGTCCGCAACATGGGCCTGAACAATGAAAACTATCCACATTTAGAACAGAGATCTGAAAACTTTCATACTGCACATTGCAAAGAGGTACTGTCTCAATTACCTTCAAATCCTTCCAAGGCTCAGTATCAGAGATCAGAACAGATGAAGCCATGATGCTGAAACACTTCACAACCAAATTCCTGCATTGAAATGCGTTATTACTAATAAACCATTTCCCCATTTTCACAGTAACAAAATGCAAATATGTGCAAATTACTCTCACGCACTGTTTGGAACAGATAAATTCAAGACAATTAAGCCATCTAGCAAAGTGACTATGGAAGAAATAAGAGATTTTTTTTCTTTAAATTTTTGGAACAACTTTTTCTCTCCCTCTCTAGCAAGCTCAAAGTGACAAAGTGAAAGGGCACATCAGCATTGATTCCCTGAATCAATTTTTTCATGTCCAATCTAGAGTTGGAGCCAGCAGCAGAGCTTGGACTTATTTCTTGAGACAGAGACTGATAATAATGCAAAAAACCGATCAAACTGTATTTAAATGCCCTGGTTTCCGAAGAAAACTCGGATAATCTAAGCTATATAACAATATTTCTATCCTTTTTTCCCAGCGTTTCTCGAACCAAACAGAACATATAATCAAGCTGCCATGTTTCTCTCCTTCATTTTTTGTTTCGTTTAGCTGATCCTTTCTTTGCTAACAACAGACAAAATCGACATTTTTACTGACTGCGCATCATCTAAGACGTAACAAGAACAGCACATCGTACTCGATGGTATACCCAAAATTTCGACAAAAAAAGGTGGCGTGAAAAAAACGATGCAAAACAAGAAAACGAAGGAAATAAGGAGATCAAATCCGAGTGAAAATAAAGAAATTGCGAGAACAGAATTGAGATGATTAAACTATAGGATAAAGACGATGTCAGTGTACCTGAGACTTTGAGAACGTCAAAATTCCTTGGTGTAGAAGAAGATAGATTTGTAGATGGAAATAGGCCTTGGAATTACGCTAGGGAAAAGAGAAGCTTCGGGCTCCAACTGTCACTTTCGGTGACTCGGTGACCCGGTGACCCGGTGACGTGTCTGTCGTCACGTGAAATCGGGGGTACTTTTCAGATGTTTTGACACGTGGCAAACCCGATTGTATTAAGGCTTAATTACTTTTCAGAGAGTTCGAGAAGGGGAGAGAGAACAGAGAACAAGAGAGGAAGGATCCATAAAGAGAGAGAAGATGGGAGCTTGAGGTTGGCTTCGATGTTCTATGAGTACAAGGGGGAGAGAGAGGAACAGACGGATGAGTGGGTTGGGGATGGGGGTCTGGTGGGGTGACGGGGAAGAAGGGGAAGAGGGATTTTTTATAATTATTTTGTATTGTAAAATATTTAAAATCTGTTTTTTATATTTAATTTGAAGTTAAAGTTTTTAATAGTTAATTACTAAAATGCTTATGCCACGTCAGCACACCAAAAAAGCAAATTCTAAAAAGTTCCGTTGCCGGGAATCGAACCCGGGTCTCCTGGGTGAAAGCCAGATATCCTAACCGCTGGACGACAACGGATTGATGATATGATGACAACATAAAATATTTTTAAATAGTTACGTTAACAATGTGAGACAAGAATGTAACCTTGCCATTCTATATTGTTTTTATTTTTTTAATGAAAAAATATTATTTAACCCTTCCATCATAACATTGGTGAATGTAAGAGCATCTCCGGCGCCAGACCCAAACTGGGGGAAAGGCCCCTCGGCGAGCCCAAGAGCCCTCTAGCGTGAGAGAAGAAGCTTGGGCAGACCCAAGGGCAAGTTCCGTCTGGGCTTCAGCCCGAGGGCTGTAACGTCACGCTAACGTCACAGCACAGTAATTCAAATTTTTTTTACTATTGGCGCGTGAATTTCACTCATCAATAGTAAAAAAAAATACAAATTTATAAATAAACCCAATTCTAGACATGTATTTATAGAAAAACCCAAGCACTATTTAAACATAGAAACACACCCAAAATCAAACCAAAAGTCAACTTTTTGGCTGTGTTTATAAATGCATTTTGAGAGTGTGTAATGATCGGTTTTGGGTGTGTTTATATGTTTAAATAGTGTTTGGGTTTTTTTATAATTTAAGCCCCCATTTGGGGTGTTTTAGTGAAACTCCCTAAAAAAATTTGATTTTCGCTCGCTGACGTCAGCATGACGTCATTGCTGACATACCCTAACGGGAATATGCCACATGGTGCTTCCTCGACGCTCCGATGCAATTTTTCCAGAAATCTAACGGCCTTGATTTTTTTGGCTTAAAAAATTGCAAAAAAAATCGAAAAAAATTCAAAATTTTTTTTAAAAAAAAATACCAAAAAATTCTGGATTTTTTCCATATAAATACCTAACAATTTTATTCACTTTCCACACTAAATCTTCATACAAACTCATCTCCTTCCAATATTTTTTACTTTCCACACCAAATTTTCTACTACAAAATTTCATTTGTGCAAAAATACAAATGTTATCTTCCATCGAAGTGGAGGGTCGTGGACAAATGTTCGAATAGGTCAAAATCTTGGCAACGAAGTAAAAATAATAATTAATTTCCGTTTTTATTCAATGTAATGTCTTTTTATATATATATATTTCTTGCATTTCCAATTTCTTTTTTTTAATAGATTAGTCAAGGCAAAACAAAAAAGAGGAAAACCATTACACATGGCTCCTCAAGTGAACAATGTCCGCAGTCAGTTCCAATAGTGCGTTCCGTGTCAGAAATAATGACACTATTACGTCCTCCGAAGGAAAATACTCCCCCATGTCGTGATCCAGTGGAACCGCCTCCGCCAATGATAGAGTTGTCCTTGTATTTTATTCTGTCAGATTATGAGAACCAAGAATATTTCAATTGTATGATGAGTGAGTAGGTATTTCAATTGTATGATGAGTGAGATGTGAATTTTATAATAAATATGAACATGTGGTAACCGAAAATTTTATCCAAAATTTTTTATCTTAAATTTTAAGTGAAAATTTTATAATAAATAGTGACACGTGACAACCAAAAATATAATCTAAAAAGCTTATCAAAATTAATGGTTTAAAGTATAAAAAAATAAGAAATAAAGTACAATGAATAGTATTTGCCTTAAATTTGCCATAGACTTAGCCCTCATGGGTGGAACCACAAATGGCAAGGCTGACACTATTCACGTGAATAATGGCAGCCTTTACTTGCCCTTTCCAAAGACTTAGCCTTTGTGGGTAGATGTAACACCCCGACTCCGCTTATTTTCATATTTAATTTAATTAAGGGAAAATATTAAATTACTCCTGGGTTAAAGGTGATTTTGGTCACTTTCTTATCCGGGAAGATTTTGGGACCGTGAGGGGTGTGGTTGCGTAGGTGGTACTGAGACGAAACCGTAGACAGGCGGTAGGCCTGAATCGGAGATTTAACGAAGCTTTGGCGATCAAAACTTGTTCGGTGGCAGAACCGTAAATATTCCGAAGGGTTTAGTAAAAATCATAATTTTACTCACTCTCTCTCTCTCTCCCTCCCGCGTACACTCTCTCTCTCTCTCCCGTTTCTCTCTCCCCGACCCTCTCTTTCTCTCTCTTCGGTTCTTCCAGTTCCAGCAACGAGAAGAGCCGGCATCGGTTCCGTTCGACTCCCCTTGAAGCCCCGATCACAACCCACCGGTTATCCCGACCGGAAAACGCGAAATCCGGCCTTGTTATCGACTGGTTCAAGTCGGAATTTTCACGGCGT